CACTTCATCAGTCTCTGCATAACATTTCAATGCTTGATGGGTTTCAAGAGCACTCGCGATTATCACCTGTCAACGGTTTCATTAAATCGACGAAATGGAAAACTGACACAAATGGAATGCATTACTCCAGCGTGGAGTATGCATTTTATCCCAAATTCTTGCATCTGTATTGGCCCTGATGTTCATTCACTGCAGACAAAATGAATGACAGAAACACCATCATACTGATTACAGTCATAAATTTTGTTGTTCACAAAGCTAATAAACAGCGCTGATATTACAATGCATACACATTCTTCAAATGTTCAGGGTACTTCACTTCACAAAATATTTCAAATCAAAGGAGGAATTATTAGTGGAATCTGTATTTTGCATGACAGGCTGTTTTCCTGTTAAGTATAATTTAATTATGCATGAAGAATACAAAACTAAACTTCAGCTAACTTAAACTGACTTTTGGTGATGACGTTTCCTTCATGCTAGATGCAACACTTGTCTCAATATTACTTGTTCTCCAGAATTTGGTCCACAGTATCCAGGTCCATCATATGATGGTAAGGAGGTTTACTTTAAGGTACAAGAGGTTTCTGTTGCACACTGAATCCCTCATACTCATCAAAGTTTCTCGCCCCACTCTGCAGTACACATAACTGTGGTTCAAAATTAGCAGCAGGATTAGAATTCTGTTGTTTCTGGCTTGACAGTCAAAGTGGTCCAACATCGGAACAGTCGGCCACGGTTCCCCAAGACACGGGTCGGCAAGAATGAGACACAGTGTTCAGAATGGAGTGGCAATGACAAGGTGTCCTCAAGGATCATAGCCTACAAGAGTCAGCTGGTAGTTCATCTACGCCGTGTGCTGCTGGAGGAGAGCAGTGTATTCAAGGCTAATGGCGAGGGTAACAACCCGTACAATGTGCGCTATGCGGGACCACGCAGCTCCTATGCTGATAAGAGCGTGCATGATCTGGTATGCAGTCTCAGGAAGAAGGTGGGCATCATACGCACAGTAAGTGGGCTGGATGAGCCGTTCAAGGGACGGGGGCTCAGGGAACTGTTTCCCAGGGCACCCATCTTTACTGCAAAGTACAATACCTGTGCCATCGTCACTAACGCGGGCTCGCTCTTCGGCTCGGGACTCGGCTCTTTCATTGGTGAGTTGGTTGCTATAAATGTGGATTTTGTGGTGAACCAGGCTGGGTTGGGAGGAAGGAGTTGTGATTTGTCTCAAGGCCCAGTACAATGAGTAGGTGAACAGAGCAATGGTAACCTTAATTAAGGTAGCTCACATCAGGATCTGATGCTTTTACGTGCCAAAAAGGACTTTATCTGTAGCTAACAGTACCAAGTGGGATCTTACGTGGGAAGAACAAAAGAGAAGCATTTGGGGAAATTCAAATGTGGATACTTGTTAAGCTATCGTTTGCTGCATGCAGGGTATGTCATGAGAACTCTTACACGGCCTTTTGGGGGGTTTGGAGAGCAGAATCACAGATGAAGGAGAACCATGAGGAAAAGGCATCAGGGGGCAAGGTTCACAGAAATTTCATTAGTTGATATTCTGGACATGGGTGAGAGGAAAAGAATAAGGTACTGGGCACAAAGTAGATTGGTGTAAAATCTCGGTCAATGGAAGATACACATGAAAACCCAAATAAATAGCCTCACTAGAAATGTTTTTAGAAAATAAACCCAACCCTGAAACTGCAATTCATTTATCTAGAATATACAAACAAAAAATCTTAAATGGTTGCAGGTACCTAAAAACAAGCAGTGAAAACCACCCACACAACTATATTTATATGCTGCATACTGCAAAACACTACGTGGTTTGGCTTTCAGGTATCAACGCTGAAACAGACTGTGCAATGAATGCATTTTAATTGGCACAGGAGTATGGATGCATGCTCGTTTTTGTTTAGGTAGTCGGTGAAAGAGTTGATATTGTGTGCTTATCCCAGTTCAGATGAGAGTAAAGGATATTAAAAGTTATTATTCAGTTAAAATAGAGCAATAAAATTATGTACAGATTTTGATCCAATTCCTTGTGGCAAGCTGGTTCAGGCTGATTACATTTCTTGTAAATGGAATCCTTGAGTGATGCTTTTTGTTTGTTGCGGGAACTTTTGTGATATAATATTGTTATGCTGAAACAAGTATGTGTGCTAGTACGAAAAGTGTTTTAAAAATTATAAATTTTTGTATATATGTATGTAGATGTCTGTACCTACGCACGTGTGTGTGAGCATAAGTCGCTGAAGAAGTCTAAATCTGATCACAGATATGCATGACATGATCCTGAGGTTCAATCATGCTCCCACGATTGGCTATGAGGCGGACGTTGGTACAAAGACTACATTGCGCATTGTCAACTCACAGGTAGTCTCAAAATCCAGCTTCAACTTTATGACATCACCCCTCTACCAGAATGTGATTCTGCTTGCTTGGGACCCCAGCAACTACTCTTCCACATTAGAACAGGTGTGTTTTATGTTAATATTTTCATGTTTTTATTTCCAAATCACCATCTGTGAAGGAACACATGTATTTGCAAAGCCACATTTGGGAATGAGTATGAATTGCTGGGTAACATTAGCAGAGTCTTTGAGAAGCTGATAGGTGCTCAGCCCATCAAGAAATTCCTCACCCTTTATGGAACCAGAAGCTTCACAAGAGTCTAGTAATAGACTCCTATCCGGAACCAAATTAATCTACTCCACATCTTAATGCTGTACTTGAACCTACACCTAGTTCTCCCAAGCGAAATATATGGCTGCACTACTGTTCTCCACAACAGGAGGAGCCATCAAAAGGGCCATCGCACGCGACACAGAACACAAGAGATCCTCTGCATTACAGTTAAAAGAATCTGAAGTAAAACGGTACTCTGAAATGGGATTGGAAGTCATGTTGTTCTACACATCTCCAACTGAAGAAATCATAGCTGGTCTTCATTTCTGTTTCATATTATTGTACCATTAACTGTTAAGTGCTTTTCTCTGGTGGCTTCCTAACAGTGGTACCAACAGCCAGACTTTGACCTGTTCACGCCATACTTCGAACATCGGAAACTCCACCCAGAGCAGGCTTTCTACCTGTTGGATCCACACTCACAGTGGATGCTGTGGGACTACATCCAGAGTCTCACCCCAGTCAGAATACGCAAGAACCCACCCTCTTCGGGCTTCCTAGGTAACGTGCTGAGTTATTTGCTGCTTCCCTGTGAGCTGTGCAATGGCATTAGTGAGCCACTGTTGTCACGTTTTCTGAAATTTTATAAAGAAATTCCAGAACTCAAAATTGAATGTGAAGAGTAGAATTTTCCAAAATGTCAACTAATAATTCCAAAAGTAGCAGGAAGACGACAGCTTGGGAACATTCTCAGTGCTTGAACTGTGATAACTCTGAGGCTAAAATAATGCAGTTAAAAAGATAATAATTCAGACAAAGATTAAGTAATTCTGTACTTAAAGTCAGAATATGGCGAATGAATGGTTAGAACTCCTACTTTGTATTTGTGACATCCTGGATTTTATTCTCAGCTCTGATGATAGAGATATTGTCAGTTCCTCAAAGCGAATCAACCTCCCATTTTGCTGTATAATTTATGCAGCTGAGAAAGCATCATATTCTGATATCACGACCTTCATGCTCCATTATTGTTTGTGTCTGACTTACCAGGTCTGGCTCTCTTGCTTCCTCACTGTTTGCATGTGGATTTGCTGGAGTATGTGCCATCAGTCCGGCTGACAAAACGCTGCCACTACTGGGACGTAGCCGAAGACTCATCTTGCACATTTGGTGTGTGGCATCCGCTGGCTGCTGAGAAACTTCTTGCTCTGGCACTAAATGTGGCAAGTGACCAGTCAGTGTTCTCTGACGGTTACATTCGAGTGCCTGGCTACGACACTTTGCAATGCTGAATGTAACCTCCTCCTGCTGGAGTAAGAAGACAGTTCAGGTTTGAGAAACAGTGGGTAAAACGCAAACAAAAACTGTAATCAGGAAGTACTCAGTGAGGTAGATTAGTATGAACAGTTCCATTCTCTCAGTAGTCGTCGTATTGCATTTGGTTGGACATTTTCTTTTAAATTCCCCATTTAGAATTTTCTTTATTGAAATAGGACATGTTTGTATGAATATGTTCACCTTCTGGGTGATTACTCGTAATATAATGGAGGAACATACTGCTTCCACCCTCAGAGGGTACATCTTTCTCCAAAATAATGGTAAACACCTACAAGTCACATTGCATCACCACCCACAAACACAACAGGCAATGCCTTCACCACCATCAGACCCCCAAACAACAGATGTTTATATCAACTTTCAATGTTAATTTCAAACTGAGCTTCTAGTCAATGAATCAAGTATCTCATCACATGTGATACAATCATCAGTTTACAGCCACGTCACAGCCCTGTGGAGCACGTATTGAAATCGCTCCATTTGTCTGCCCATACACGTGGAACGACTCGAGGATGAACAAAATTGTTTTGATTAAGATTTATATTGGAGACTTTTATGAAAGACTGTCAAACTATTAAAGTTTTCATGTAGATCAGTCAGTTTTAATAACCTCTTTACACAAGGATAAAAGATTTTATTGGTGTCATTTTATGACAGATTTTATTTTAATGTGTGTTATTACAGTAAACAGTGAAGCCTGTTCTAGTCATTCATTCTATACTTTTTAATTCTCGCCAGTTTAGGCAATTATCAACTAACAGTGAACAGTTTTATATGAATTTAATCTTTGTTTATTTTCAATCATAATTATGCTGCTCTGTGAAGAATGTTGTTAATATTTAGACTATAATCATCATAAATTATGTATTTGCACTTCCAGTAAATATCTTATTTTTTTAAAGAGTTATTTATTTATATAATATTTTGGATATTGTTCATGCACATTTTATACTTGTCATTATTATGTGTTGTTTTTATTGTATGAAGTATGTTTTAAACTACGACAAGCTTATGAGTCTGCATGTTTGTTCTCTCTAAAACTTTTGAATCTGTATGTTGATTTCCGTGAAACCTGGTGTGATCATCATGGCCTAGTGACACTTGTACTTCTAATTTCCTCTTATGACAGCTGTACCAACTTGAGAGCTAGAATGACACTAGCACCAGCTTTTTTAGGAACTCACATTTGGTGTGGCAAAATTTGTATAACTTCCGTTAAAGTAATTTTGTGTAGAGTATAGTGCAAGATGGAGCCCATGTGAAATTTACATCTGGCTTTTGGTTTGACTGCTCTCACCACTGGAGTTGGGCATATAACATTTTTATGTAGATCATAAACATAGCCACACATTGTTCCTAAGTCAGCAGTCACTGACGTGATGCTGGAATGAAAGTTTGAGGTCGCAACTGACAGATTTAGTGTCGGAACTTGTACGAGAGGAAACTGGTCAATAAATAATGTAAGTATCAGACAGATAGATTGAACCATTTGAAGGAAAGTGGTGTGGCAGATGATTTTCAAAAAATATAAGCACAGAAGTAAATACTTCTAAATTAATCTTCTGTTTCATACATAATACCTCAGATGTTCGATTCAATTGTGGGGGCTTAAATACTGACCTGGACTCTTAAAAATGTGAACAAAACTGAGCCCAGCGATTGTCAGTAAACAGGCAGTGTAAATCTTCGCTTGTGTGCATTTCTCTTTCTCCCGTGTGTGTTCATCATTCACTTTGTTTCATCTTACCGTCCAATAAGCTGTGAGAAAGCACAAATGGATGTTATGGAATCAGTTATACAAGTCAATTCAGTTACAGTACACGCTGGTTTCCGTACGTACGTTAAAGTTTAGGCGATTCATATTTTGTATTAGAGATGTTGAATTTACATGCAAATGTTCAATTTGTCTCACTGATATTGGATTTTAGAATTTGATATGTTATTTAAGAAATATAATTTGTATTAAATTTGAAGGACGAGAGTCTACAGCTTGATTTCTGCGTGATCTCACTTTTGAAACATGGCATTATACAAGCAGCGAAGTGGGCTTATGAAACTCGTACCAGTACCGAGTCTGTAGAGGCAGGCTGTATTCTGCACTGCAGTTAACTTCTGAATGCAGAAATCATCTCAAATAGAAAGAAGGCGAACGCTGTTACACCGAGTCCAGCCAGACCTCTCGTGGTGCCAAAACCTCAAGTCTGAAACTACGCTTCATCTTTAGAAGCCACCGTGGTACATTTATGTGCAATGTGTTCAAAAGTTCTGCAGCAAATATGTGATACATCACTTTACATGTTGTATGGTAACATCATTACCACGAACCTAACAGTGAGAGTATTTTTTACTTTACCAGAAAAGTTATATTGGCAGCACTGATATAAACTGTATGGTGGCTTTCATCAACAATCTCAGTGCTTCATATACTGGAAAATTTGTAACAGAGGTAATATGGTTCCTATTCAGATGTAGAATTGTTCGTTAATTCTGCGCCATTGTAATGGTAATATGTACAGAGGGCTTAAATTTCACAGACGAAGTTGCTGCTAGTGGTAACTGGAGAGGGTGATGGAGAAGAAACCAAAGCCCCTATGAACTGACGAATTAGCATCATGATTTTAAGCCTTCATCCTCCCCACTTGTTTAGGCGACCGAACGTGGGAAGCAGCACTGGTTCTGAAGGAACCAAATTTTGGTGCACAAGTTTTAAGCCTGATCAATACCATAGTGAGAATGGCACAAAGTGATATTCATCTGGCAAAATGCCTGGTGGCTCTAGAATCTGCAAGCTTCATTTAAAAATGGGTTCATTTGATATACTGTAGCAAAATATCTGTTCATATACTAGGCCTTAATACTGAAATTTAATTTGGTCAGTTAATTTAGTAGACGCATCCGATGCCTGACTATGTGACCTTTCAGTGAAACCCAACGGAGAAAATCCCTGCAAGGGGAAGTCGTTTCTGGTGCGGTGCGGGGGGAATGTTTACTGCCTGGTGGACTAGAGGGCTGCTATTGGTGGGAAGTGTGACACGTCAGAGTTCTACGCTACTACACAGACTGAAAACATCAAGCAGTTGAGACCAGCGTGTATTGAGTGCACCTCTAATGTGTTCTGATAATATTCTAGATTAAATCGCTGTGCCGCTGTGAGGTAATCTTAAAGCTGTACCCATTAGAACACATGAAAGCCTGTCGTCTGTTGTTCGTTCAGTGGTTGTGGAACGAATGCTTTTAGGATGGGTCGTCACTCACAGCGAAATCTTGCGCATGCGCGTATATCGAATTCCTAGCAGGGATTTTCTCCTGGTCTGCGGACGATATCAGCATTTCAGTATAGTATTGATAGACGTAAACAGGGAGATATGTCGGCACAACATTCTGGTTTCTTACAATGTTCATGTAGTTATTTATTTGCTTATGGAATAAGTAATGAAAGAAGTTGGCCCATTGTGTACCCTAGCAACTGTTACAGAAGCACAGTAGTTCATTGGTGCCACCAGATGGCAGTGGCCAGAGTGTAGTGTTCATTACTGTGAGAAATAAATGAACTGAAATGATGTGAAGTTTTATGCGTTCGGCAGGTACGTCACCCCGACTGCTGGCCTGGTAGCAAACCTGCAGGGCCTGAGCTCAGTCCTCAATTCTCCCCCAGACTTAAATGTTGTAAAGTTAAATTTTGCTCCTATATTCTTGAGCAGACTGTTTCTAGACCCGACATATTCCAAAACATTTCAGTCTAATGGCACCAAGACCGCCTGATGAAAACGAGTGTTATGCCACGATTCTACGCTTTGTAGTCTGGTAGAAATGTGTGGCGTTTCAGAGGTGTTTGCTGCCTCCATCGTCAGGGCGCAGCATATGCACACTCACCGCCTTGAGAACCTCAATCTCACGTGTGTCTGAGGGCGATCCCCCAAATTCTTCCCTACTTCAAACAAAACCTTTTCTCTGTTCCTCAAACTGAACACGCACATTTCGGAGGTCGTGCCTCTGTACAACAGAAACATTTAAATGGAAGCTGCAAGTAGGTTATTCGTGGAAATTCTTGTTTATACAAAACATGAGTTCTGAAGTAAACAGAAGTGTGTTATCAGAAGCCCACTACAAGGGCGAACGCAACCGGAGGTCAGCCAGCGATAACTCCGGCAGACACAAAACCGATTTGTCACGCTTTGCCATTGGCACTGCCGTCATTTTTATGCCATGAGTAATCTACAAGAGTACAGATGTGTGCTTCAGTAGCGGAGCACGTGATTTTGCACACTCCACTCTCTGGTTTTATGGTACTTTCACTGCAATAACAAGAAACACGCCCCAAAGCTAATCATCCCTGCAGATATACCACTGCGCTGCTGACAGGTGTTAAACTTCACATGGTCTGTGGCCGATATTGTTGTATGATGGACAAAGTTTAAACTGACACGAATGGTGATTAAATTCTACAGACAAAATTCGGTGCGGATCGCCAGTAGAAACAAGTACCTTCGGAGATGAAATATGCGGAAGGACTATATGAAACGACCTCTCCATTATGTGTGCACTTCCTCCTACAAAGACCGCAACAAATGTCGAACGCTATCTTCACTTCAGGATTGGCTCACAAAGTCGCCGTGACATTAGGCACCTTCTCTGACACATTCGTGAGGCACACAGCATATCGGGACGGGGCACAAATGGGCCAGGAACGTGAATCTTAATCTCTAGTGAGAAGCTGATCGTCGCTCGTGAACCCCTGAAACTTCAGCTATTGCTCTCTTCTGGGTTGTTGAGCCGTGAGGCCTGGTAGGTGTCCACCGACCCTGATGATGGAGGCAGCAAGGACCTCTGAAACGTTGGTGGACATCTACCAGACTACACGGCGGAACAACCCAGTAGACGGCAATCTTCTTGGCACAATATTTTGTTCGAGGTCAACAAGCAGGAAAATGGAAGCATTTCGCCGAACTTGTGTTCCCAAGAAACAGACCGAGAGATACGAAATCGCGCAAGTCACGGTTCACTGTGGGGCATTCCGATAAAACCTTCTCGCAGAGGGCGAACGAGTGTCAGCAAGGAAAACACTGTCGATCTTCGTCCGTGAATAAATGATATTTGACCATCAAAGCCGCTTGTGCGCTGCGATGTCATGGGGTCATCATGAGATTTACTTCCAGGTAGGGGCAGGGTGCCCAAAATTCGTTCTGGCGAATCACGCGGCATGGTCACAAGTCACGCTGCCCATATTCATTTGATCATCACTGTGAAATTAGTCTCAGCACGACGTTCTGAAAAACCCTCAATCCGTGCTTGATGTAATGACGTCACACCAGTTACGAAGAACGGGTGGGCGTCGCGACAGGGAATGTAGAGGGGATACGTGACAGAAACATGATCTGGCCCATGCAGGAGTTATCGCCTTTTTACACCAAAATCTTCACTTACGATCTGCGCGCGCAGGATCCACTCAGGCCGATATAAAGACGCATCTTTAGAGTGTTCTGAGAAACGGAAGAATGCGGAGTTTGCTGCTGGTCGTGTTAGCCGTGGTCGTCCTCAGTCACTGCGACGGGGAGTACGTGCGAGCGTCACATGATTGGAGAAACGAGGGCACAGAAGTCGACAAGGTGCGTGACGGAAACCGGCAGAGAGAGAGAGTTCGCATGAGATTCTGTCGATAATGAACAACGGATCACAAATTCTTTCTGCAATGTTGCAGCCCCAGATGTACAACTTCCACGTGGAGTCCGTGGTTCGGTTCCGGTTTGCACATACAGTGGTAAGCAGCAGGATTGCCAACCCCGCCAACATCTCCCAGGAAGTGTCCTTTAGTGCAGTACTCCCTCGGACTGCGTTCATCTCTGGTTTCCGCATGTAAGTAGTTTGCACGTCGAATTAAAGCACGGACTACCACCGAGTGAAGCCAAAGACTGGGCCACTTATATTTGGCAGGAGGTCTTTCCAAGTGACCCTGGCGATGAAAGCTTACTCCTTGAAAACTGTTTCCAAGTTATCTTGTGCAGACTGAGCATCATTTAAAGATGTGTCAAAGGAAACAAATAATTGATTCGAACAAGACGTCCTAAAGTCTTGCCGGTGTCGTCAGGTAACGCCCCTCGACTCTGCCACGCCCACTTGCTGGTACTGCAGCATCCCTTATAAAAGATTGTGTTGTTAATCTCGCTCAAACAGCGCTGTTCGCCGCGTTTTCTGTTCCAGGGTGGTCGACGACCAAGTGTACAGCGCGTACGTGCAGACGAAGGCTGCCGCCAAGGAGGAGTACAGCGAGGCCGTAAGACAGGGCAGGACCGCGGCCCACGTCAGCCTCAGGTAGACTTCAGTTCTGCTCACACCCAACTCCCACTTAAGAAGCTAACAGTCGCGCAGCTGCTCAACAAATTCCCTACCTTTCTTCACCATACTCATAAGATCCCGCCACTGTGCCAGATGAATCCAATCCACAATAGCTCGCATTCAGATGGTTTGTTCAAACTAGCAGGCCTGTTTTCGGAGACCCATTTACGCAATTAGCTCCTCCTGTAACATTCATTACAGCCCCCGGGACTCGAACCGCATCACGGTGTCGGTGAACGTGGAGCCTCGACAGAAGGTGACCTTCAACCTGACGTACGAGGAGCTGCTGGTCCGGAAGCTGGGAGCGTACGAACACGTCATAAACCTGGACCCTGGACAGATCGTACCCGACCTCAGCGTGGAGGTTCGCATTGAGGAGTCTG